TCCACTGTTGCCACTGTGCTTGCTCAGGATGGGAGACTGCAACGAAGCCAAGATTCATCTTGTCTGCTGGATTCCTTAGATAGAGAACTTTACTAATTGGCTTTTATCTATGTGAATGTTTCTGTAAAGTGCCCTGAGACAACTTTGTTGTGATTTGGCGCTATATAAATAAACTGAATTGAATTGAATTATACTATGAAATAACAAGATGCCATAAAATTTGTTGTTGTAAAATCATTTCGCTATTTTAATTTAAAAAAAAAAAAGTAAAAGCAACTAAAGACTAAAATTTTTATTGCAATATGTAGAAAGCTGCAGCTCTCTACAGGAATGTGTATTTTTTGTGGCATGTCCCTTCTCATAAAAGAAATACCAGGTTGAAAGTCTTCTAGGGCATATATCATAATCTTTCTATTTCACTACAGGAACAGATCTGAAACATGAAATCCTATAGTCTATTACATAAGCTACAGTAACAACAAGGAGTCTAAAAGTAACATTTGTCAAAATAAATACTCTCCAAAACAGTTAATACTTGTGACACAAGACACTGTAAGCATGGTGTCCCATGCTTACAGTGTCTTCAGCGCCCCTCTGATTTTCAGGCCCTTCCATTATCTTGGGCAGTAAGTCTTGTCCTGAGCTTTTGTTTATTGTGCTTTTTAAATTCCCCTAGCTGTGAACCAGTAAGATGCGAACCAGTAAGATAGGGGCTGCAGTAACTCGTGATCTGTGGTTGCATCAGGAAGAGCATCCAGTGTAGAACAAATCTGGATGTGTGTTTGCTCGCTTTGACAATCCTGAGAAAAGGAGCAGCTGAAAGAAAAAAAAAATTTAAACGAGGATGAACTTCAATAAGTTGAAAAGTGTGTCTGTGCTTTGCTCAATAAGTAATTAAGGCTGTAAAATAAAGTAGACCTCTGTCAGAAGGCATCTGCCTAACGCTCATATTGAAGTGCTTTTATAAATAACGTGTTTGTGACTACAGAGTCCTGAAATTCTGGTTTTGTGGTCCCCATCTGGCCCCCCTGTTTGCAAAATTTCTGGAGGCACCCCTGTCAAAAGGCAGTCAGACACCTGCAGTGCCTGTAAAAAGTATTCACCTCTTGGATGCTTTATGCTTTTATTAATGTCATAAATCAGTTTGGTCCGTATAAATTGGTCATCTTTACAAGAAATTTGTTTGACTTTTTTGGTCAAAAAAGTTTCACCTTTTGATTGATTCATGACAGCAACAAAACTTCAAACGTCCAAGGGCTGAGTACTTTATAGGTACAGTACATATACCTTCAAGAAACTCAAGGTTGTGTGAATGTTTATGAAGCATTCATTGTGATCCATTTTTCTCCCAAACATTTTTCAGCATCTTTCCCATTCCACAATTTTTGTGCTACTCTATTTCAACAAATCATAAATCAAAACATTCAGCTCTTTCAGGACAATCCTGCGATGACTTTTGGCATTGGTGCAACTTTAGCTTTTTGAAATATTTAGCCTTTCTGCCTTTTTTTTCTCATAAAAAAATGAATTGAACTCATTTTCCATTCTTCAAATCTTTCTGTTTACAACTTTTTACTGCTCCTTTCACATTTTGTTCTGCTTCAGCTTCCTTGTGTAAATTTTAATAATAACAACAATAATGTCATCACAATGTCAGCACTGTATGTTTCCATACAATGGCGAAATTAGTCTCTGCATTTAACCCATGGGGCAGCTATTGAAAGCGCCCGGGGGGCATTTTGGGGATGAGGCGTGCTGCCCAGAGACGCCACGTGATGTGCAGTGACTGGGGATCGAACCTGGGACTTTCGGGTCCCAAGCCGGCTGCCCTGCCTCTACACCATCTCGGCCCCAAATTTTCAAACAAATTCAGCTACTTTTAGGTAATCTTAGCTGTTTTTCCCCCCAGCTGTTTTGTGCTCCTTTCTGCTTTATTATTCTAACAGCAACATGTTTGTGCTACTTCTGACTTATTTCTGACTTATTTCTGCTTGTTATGATCCTTTCAGTTTATTTCTGCAAGTTTAAACTATTTCTGCTATTTTAGCTATTGTATTACTGTATTTTGTTGTTGTTGTGCTAATTTTAGCCTTTTCAGCTAATTCCACATTTTTTGCACCCATTTCAACTTTTTTCAGCAAAAGTGTGTTCTCTCCACTTCCTTCTGATAATTTAAGCTTAAATTTTAGCTACTATTCAGCTGGGTTGGGTTTTTTTTTTTGTTGTTGTGCAAATTTTGCTTTTTTTCCACAGATCATTTCCACCTTTTGTGCTAATTTCTGCTTCTTTCAGCCTACTGGTAATTGGGCAAAATTGTGCTCTCTCCACCTCCTTCTGCTCCACTCACTTTTTGCACACTTACTTTTTTCCCATTCCCCTCAGGAAGGAGGTTGAGGAGCATTAAGTGTAGAACCACTAGAGTGAGGAACAGCTTCTACCCTGAAGCTGTTAGACTCAAGAATCTCTAACCATCACTGTGGAAAAAAAAAAAAAAGTTAAGCTTGCTCTACATTTTAAGCTGTTTTTAGCATTTTTAGCTAATTTCAGCTGTTTTCAGATAAATTCCAAGTTTTTAATGGTGATTTCTGCTACTTTCACAACTTCTTTCTGATAATTTCAGCTTGTTATGCTCCTTTCAGCTTAATTATGCTAGTTTCAGCTAGTTCTGCTTTTTCAGCTACTATTTAGCTGTTTGTATGCTAATTTTAGCTTTTTCATAATTTTTTTAGCTCATTTCTGATTTACCTCATTTTGTATTTTGCTTTGTGTGTTACCTGTTGTTTTGTCTGTACAGCACTTTGGTTGGCCTTGTTGCTGTTTTAAGTGCTTTATAAATAAAGTGGTATGGTATTTCAGCTCTTTCTGCTTTCTTCTAGTAGTTTAAGCTACTTTCTGCCTTTCAGCTATACTTTTCAGGCCTTTTTGGGCTAATTTAAGCTTTTTTAAGCTACTTTCCTAAGTTTTCTGTTAATTTCTAAATATTTAAACCAGTTTCAGCAAAGATGTGTTCTTTCTGCTTTCTTCGTGGTAATTTAGGCTTGTTCTTCAATTTCAGCTAGATTTCAGCATGTTTTTAAGCTAATTTCAGCTGTTTCTCTGCAAGTTCTTCTACAATATGCTGGTGAAGATTCTCAGTCATCCAGGACATGATGAATATATTATATTATCAGGTTTATAACCTGTGATAATATAATATATAATATAATAACCTGAATCACTCACTCCTGTTTGAATTGAGAAAGCTCCTCGGATGAGGAGCGAAACGTCTTCTGTTACAAATCAAGTCCAGTTGTTTTTGTATTGAACGCTTTTTGAATTCTACAATAAGCATTCACAATGCATTTTTGCAGAAAATGCAATTTCTCTAGTTTCAGAACATCAGCATTCTGCAGCATCACGCCTTAATGAATTTCATCTCTCATCATGAAGTGCTTTGAGCGAATTATCAAGACTCACATCTGTGCCTCCCTCCCTGACACCCTGCACCCCCTACAGTTCACACACAGAGCAAACAGGTCTACAGATGATGCCTTTGCTTTAGCAGTTCACACCTCCCTCAGCCATCTGGAGAAGGTAAACACTTATGTGAGAATGCTCTTCATTGACTACAGCTCAACATTCAACACCATAATCCCCTCCAAACTGGTCTCCAAGTTCACCACACTGGGCCTGGAGAAGTCCATCTGCTGCTGGATACTGGACTTCCTCACCAACAGACCACAGGCAGTGAGAATCGGCAGTCACCTCTCCTCCACACTAGTCCTCAGCACCGGTACACCTCAGGGCTGTGTCCTCAGTCCACTCTCTCTATTCACACATGACTGTACCGCCAAGCACAGCAGAAATGTCATCCTCAGGTATACTGATGACATCACCATCTTGGGCCTCATCACCAACAACGACAAGAGTGTCTACAGAGGTGAGGTGAAATCACTGACCAGCTGGTGTCAAGAAAATAACCTCTCTCTTAATGTCAGCAAAACAAAGGAGATGATGGTGAACTTCAGGAAACAAGAGTGGAGGTCAGCACTCCACCATCTACATAAACAGCACTGAGGTGGAGCAGGTCAGCAGCTTCAAGTTCCTCAGCATTCACATTACTGAGGATCTATCCTGGAGTTTACAGACACTGTGGTCAAGAAAACCCGACAAAGACTCCAGTTCATAAGAAGACTAAATAAGTTTGGTACAAACACCAGCATCCTCACAAACTTTTATAGGTGCACCATTGTGAGCCTGCTGACAGGCTGCATCACAGGGTGGTACGGGAACTGCACCAGTCAGAGCTGGAAAGCACTACACAGGGTGGTGCAAACAGCAGAGAGGACATCACTGGTCGCAGTCTCCACACCATCCAGGACATCTACCACAGTCGATGTCTGCGTAAAGCACGCAGCATCATTAAGGACCACACCCACCCAGCACAAGGACTCTTCCATCTACTACCCTCAGGCAGACGATACAGGAGTCTGCCATTACGTACAAAAAGACTCAAAGACAGTGATTATCCATAAGCTGTCAGATTACTGAACTCTTGATAAATAACACTGAACTACAATAATCTAAAAAAGTCAAGTCCTCTGGACGTTCATAAAACAAAACAACAACAAAAAAAATTGTCTTTCATCCGAAAGACGAAACGTTTCTACAATTTTTTGTTTTTGTTTTTGTTTGGGTTTTTTTGACCGTCCAGAGGATTTGACTTAACTTTTCTAAATGTTTCTACCTGGATTATTGAGCATGCATCAAGATATTGACAATAACATTGCACCAAGCCACGTCTGTGACACCTAACATGACTGATAGCTAGTGACAGCTAATATGTTGATTGCTGCTGCACTATGTGGCTGTATCATGTATGTCACTACCTTACCATCATAATTCATCTCAATGTTACTACCTGCAGTAACCTGTCACACAACCTTTGTATGTTTGGTTTAATACCTTTGATTACTTCGCTCCGCCCATAAACGCTGACGTGTGTGTTTTGAGGAGGAGGGACAGCGGCATCTGCTTTCCAACAGTCGGAGGGGACAGTGTCTCTACTCAACACGGACAGTCCTCCATGGCTCTGTGTAACGGAGAAAGCAAGGTCAGTGGAGAGCAGCCGCTGTTTATGTGATTTGACGTCTGAACTGTAATTCGGCCTCTGTGCACCTCGGGTTGAAAGTTATCGAGGCTGTAAATATTACCACCAGTACCGGGGAGTAAGGACGTTGAATGTCTGCCTGTTGCGGTGATACATTTAACATGTCGCTACAGTTGCTAATCAGCTACACGTGATGTAGCTGAGATGTCGGGCATGAGTACAACGAGTTAAATATATGTATTGTTTTCCATTGTACGTGTTCGCGTTCCTCGTATTGTTGGTCCCCCACAACACTCCAGCTTCAAGCGCCGCATGGGTTTTAGCTTAGCTCGGCTAATAGCCAGACAGTTAGCCGCTAACATGCTAGCACTCGCTACAACGGTTAGGAGCAGCTCAGCAAGGAAATTAGCCGAAATTATTTTGGAACTAAAAAGTCATCTTGAGGCAAACTAATATACTTTGTAAGGCAGCTGTCATGCACTTAAAGTTAAAATAACGCTTACTGTCGGTTTGCTAACGTCGTCACTAAGCTAGCCAACTTGCGGTTTCAGCGAGGTGTTGTATCGAAAAAGGCACCCCTCCTATTTTGGAGAACGCGTTCCAACGCATTTGTTTTCACTCACTGAATAAAAATCAAAACAGACAAACTGACCTCTGGTTTTCAGTAATCTTAATGACACGGCTTTCTAAGATTATGCGATTGTTATTATTTAAGTGTGTTTATGGCAAGCTAGTCTGCCTCTACTGTCAACAAAAAAGTTAAGGTTACAATTTAACACCGTCTAACCGTATTGTCGTAATTATTATCAGTTTGTCTTGTGTTTGAAGTAAGAGATTAGAGTCGTTGTCCAGTGGGGCTGTACATAATCCTGGAAGTTTAGCTCTCTTAAAAAGTGTAAGGTTTGTAAGTGTTTCAAAATAAAGAAAAACAAAACAGTACTGGTAAATAATTATGTTCAGAAGTGCAATAAAAACACAAATTAGTTTCTCATTTTTGAGTTTTCTCTCTCTCTCTTTATATATATATATATCCTAACACAAACGCATACACCTTTCCCAGGACAAGGCTTATTTGACAGCAGCGTGCCTTTTTCAGCACACTGTCAAATTTAGGTTTTACTACTATGTTACCAGACAATCTGGTAAAGTTTGCTCGAAAACTAAACTTTTTTTAGGGGTGCACCGATAAAGCACCGATTTCACCAATTTTTTTGTTTGTTTGTTTTAACAATTGTCTGAACTTCATTTGTATTTCAGAGCACTACCTCATGGCCAGTTAAAAGAAGTTTGTATTGCTTCTATGATATTGTTCAAGGGTATGTTTCTCAATAAAATAATATTGGAAAATTGAAGGTGCATTGTGATCTTATAACACCTGACAGTGTCGCTTATTAAACAGAATCAGTATCGGACAAAATTGGAATTGGCAGGTCAGACTTTTTTTAAATCGGTGATCGGCCAGAAAACTGCAATCGGTGCACCCCTACTTACCCCTACTTTTTTTTTTTATAACGGCTCATCATTTTGCCTGCTTGCCAACAAGATATTAAAATACAGGTAAACACTTTAAACAATTGTCTGCTGTTTTCTATAACCACGTGGGGTCGTTTTTTTTTTTTAGCCTCCCTCACGTTTACCCATTTTGTTGTCCCTAAACTGGTGTTTCTATATATTTATATCTATTTAAAAAAAAAAGAAAAGTGTCATTTGTTAACTGCCTCAAATTTGCACATAACATTTCTTGCAAACATTTTTTTATGGTTATCTGCCTCATTTAATTTTTCGCCTCGTTTGACACGCACGTCTTTATTCCCATCCGCTGTCACAAGTGGTCACGAGAGAGAGGATAAACTACGTCTTTGTGAACTCGTTATCAGGACTAATTTGAAAGTTTGTCCATTATATTCTGATGCATGCTCAATAATCCAGGTAGACAAATGTAACAAAGTTAAGTCCGGTCCTCTGGATGGTTTCTTCTTGTTGAAACGTTTAGTCTTTTACTCAGAAGATTTCTTTAGTCTGAGGGGCTGCAACAAACTCAGTCTTATAAATAGCACCATCTCATAGTCTTTTGGATAAAAGATGAAACGTTTCAACAAGAAGGATCCGTCCAGAGGACCAGACTTAACTTTGTTAGATGTCCATTATATTGTGAAACAGTTTCATGTTGTGGATGTATCTGATTTTTCATCTGCATGTGTGTTTTTATATAGTCCCTTTATGTCTGTTTAAGATTGCATTTTTTGCATCTCAGTTTAAATCCATACATCTGGTCTATAATCTAAGGGCCCTGTGCCTCTGGCCAGAGGGCACATTTAAATGATCAGTTCATGCTAAAAACTGGTGACTGGTTAGGGTTTCATGTGATTTGGGTAATGGTTTCAGCATGTTTCACAAGCGTGCCTGTCTGTATCTTCACTCACATGTCTGTAATCATGTTGTGCCTCACCGAGTCACATTTTCTAGGGACGAGTCAGAGACGAACAAACCTTCTGCATGCAGAGCTGTCAATAAACTGTTGGTCTTTGAACACATTAAGCCTGTATTTGTATCAAAAAAAAATATTTTAAGCATTTTGTTTAATTGAAAAAGAGGGGAGAAACCACAAGTACGATGTGTGTGTGTGTGTGTGTGTGTGTGTGTCTAGCTGGAGATCAGCAGCTCAGAGCAGAATGGGTCCTACGAGGGGGCAGTGGCGATCCTGGATGCAGGAGCACAGTACGGGAAGGTGATTGACAGGCGAGTGCGGGAGCTGTGCGTACGCTCCGAGATTCTTCCCTTAGAGACCCCGGCCTTTGCTCTCAGAGAACAGGGTTACAGGTGAGATTTTCAGACCTTTAGGATCATTTTTTATATTCTCTAAAGATGAAAATGTGAAAATGCTTGATTTTTTTGGGGGGGTGGTATTTGATTTTCTCTCTTTTCCACTTCTTAGAGCAATCATTATTTCAGGAGGTCCAGCTTCTGTGTATGCTGAAGATGCTCCCTGGTTTGATCCAGCTATATTCACCATAGGAAAGCCAGTTCTTGGGATTTGCTATGGGATGCAGGTATTTCAAGCACATTTTGCAATAATGGACAGATGGTTGAACTTGTATAAAGATTTATTATTCTTTCCTAAGTTGTTGATCACCTGTATTTTTTTAAGCAAAGGAAAATCATTAAGTCCTTTTACAGTTTACTGAAACTATACTAAACTCTTGCAGTCTTCAAAGCACTTTTTTAAAAACTTTTCTACACTGAAGTTCTTTTTAAGTATTAATACTGGTGTGTGCTTGTGTTACAGATGATGAACAAGGTTTTTGGTGGCACAGTACACAAAAAGAGTGTACGGGAGGATGGAGTGTTCAGCATTGCTCTGGACAACACATGCTCCCTTTTCAGGTACTGGAGTGGCATTATATGTCCTTTGAGGTGTTTTTATTTATACAGTGCTTTGTGAAAGTATTCGGCCCCCTTGAACTTTTCAGCCTTTGCCACATTTCAGGCTTCAAACATAAAGATATAAAATTTTAATTTTTTGTGAAGAATCAACAAGAAGTGGGACACAATTGTGAAGTGGAATGAAATTTATTGGATGTGTCAAACTTTTTTAACAAATAAAAAAACTGAAAAGTGGGGTGTGCAATATTATTCGGCCTCCTTGTGTTAATACTTTGTAGCGCCGCCTTTTGCTGCAGTTCCAGCTGCAAGTCTCTTGGGGTTTGTCTCTATCAGTTTTGAACATGGAGACACTGAAATTCTTGCCCATTCTTCTTTGCAAAACAGCTCGAGCTCAGTGAGGTTGGATGGAGAGCGTTTGTGAACATCAGTCTTCAGCTCTTTCCACAGATTCTCGATTGGATTCAGGTCTGGACTTTGACTTGGCCATTCCAACACCTGGATACGTTTATTTGTGAACCATTCCATTGTAGATTTGGCTTTATGTTTTGGATCATTGTCTTGTAGGAAGATAAATCTCCGTCCCAGTCTCAGGTCTCTTGCAGACTCAAACAGATTTTCTTCCAGAATGGTCCTGTATTTGGCCCCATCCATCTTCCCATCAATTCTGATCATCTTCCCTGTCCCTGCTGACAAAAGCAGGCCCAAACCATGATGCTGCCACCATGTTTGACAGTGGGGATGGTGTGTTCAGAGTGATGAGCTGTGTTGCTTTTACGCCAAACATATCGTTTTGCATTGTGGCCAAAAATTGGATTTTGGTTTCATGTGACCAGAGCACCTTCTTCCACATGTTTGGTGTGTCTCCCAGGTGCTTGTGACAAACTTTAAACAACACTTTTTATGGATATCTTTGAGAAATGGCTTTCTTCTTGCCACTCTTCCATAAAGGCCAGATTTGTGCAGTGTACGACTGATTGTTTTCCTATGGACAGACTCTCCCACCTCAGCTGTAGATCTCTGCAGTTCATCCAGAGTGATCATGGGCCTCTTGGCTGCATCTCTGATCAGTCTTCTCCTTGTTCCAGATGAAAGTTTAGAGGGACGGCCGGGTCTTGGTAGATTTGCAGTGGTCTGATACTCCTTCCATTTCAATATGATTGCTTGCACAGTGCTCCTTGGGAAATCTTTTTGTATCAAAATCTGGCTTTAAACTTCTCCACAACAGTATCTCAGACCTGCCTGGTGTGTTCCTTGGTCTTCATGATGCTCTCTGCTCTTTGAACAGAACCCTGAGACTATTACAGAGTAGGTGCATTTATACGGAGACTTGATTACACACAGGTGGATTCTATTTATCATCACCAGTCATTTGGGACAACATTGGATCATTCATAGATCCTCACTGAACTTCTGGAGTGAGTTTGCTGCACTGAAAGTAAAGGGGCCGAATAATATTGCACGCCCCACTTTTCAGTTTTTTATTTGTTAAGAAAGTTTGATACATCCAATAAATTTCATTCCACTTCACAATTGTGTCCCACTTGTTGTTGATTCTTCACAAACAATTAAAATTTTATATCTTTATGTTTGAAGCCTGAAATGTGGCAAAAGGTTGAAAAGTTCAAGGGGGTGAATACTTTCGCAAGACTCTGTATATATTGGCTTTAATCAGTTTCACACTTTATATATTTTAGGTGTGGATGAAACATACCAATTCTGATTTAAATATTTTGCTTGTTTTTTAGTTAAAGGGGGTCTCACTATTTATTTGCACAAATTTTAGAGACTTGTTGTTTACAGCCTTTACAAAATGAGGCATTTCTTTTGTTTTTTGTATTTCTATTGAAGTCAAAATTAGCTCTTTAGACAATAATAATTAGGTCACAACTGACATGGTAAATCAGACAGGAACAAACTTTTTATTTGTGTAAATAATCAAATGCCCTCCTTGGATTATGGTAGTGAGAACACTCTGTTAAAACTGTAACTTTGGTTTAACGAGCATCAAAGTTCATGCTCAATAATCCAGTTGAAAATCCAACAATGTTCAGTCAGGTCTTCTGGATGATTATTTTATTGTTGAAACGTTTTGTCCTTCATCCAAAGGACTTCTTCAGTCCGAGGAGCCACAACAAGCTCAGTCCCATAAGTGGCTTACTCGCATAGTGGACCAACCAGTTGTTTCTGGAGTCCGCCCCCCGTCAACTCCTCTGAGGCAGCCATAGCCAGAGTGGTTCAAAACATCAAAATGTTGACGATGAAGGACGAAACATTTTAGCAATAAAAGAAACATCCAGAGGACCTGACTTAACTTTGTTGGGTTGGTTTAACTAAGTTAGTCACATTTCATTCTGGCACCCACATGTTTTCCGGGTTATTCCAAAAATGTAAGGTTCATACTCTTTTTGGTTCAAGCACAGACTGTAAACATGAACACTCACAGTGTTGACAAACTGCATATCTTTCTCTGTGGCCTGTGTGTGTTTTTCTTATCAGAGGCCTCCAGAAGGAGGAACTGGTGCTGCTGACCCACGGAGACAGCGTGGATAAAGTAGCTGATGGCTTTAAAGTTGTGGCCCAGTCAGGAAACATTATTGCTGGTGAGGAGCCCAGATGATAATCTTTAGGACTAGTTCACTCATCTAAATTTATTTTTATTGTCGTATAATTTGCATAAATGTTTTAACTTCTGTGCTGTTTGAAAGCCTTAGACTGTATGAAGCTACAGTTCACTATATTTGTGTTTAAATGAGTTATCGAGGCGGCTTTCCTTTATAACATCTCTTCTTCTGGCCTCTAGGGATTGCTAATGAACAAAAGAAGCTGTATGGCACCCAGTTTCACCCCGAAGTTGACTTAACAGAGCGAGGCATGGAGATGCTGCGTAACTTCCTGTTTGAGATCGCAGGATGCACAAGTAACTTCACCGTTCAGAACCGTGAGCAGGTCTGCATCAGTGAGATCAGAGAAAAAGTGGGCAGTTCTAAAGTTCTGGTGAGTGAGCTTCTCAAAATTTTACATTATCACCTGCCATCGTATAAGGCAAGCAGTCATTTAATCGACTTTGTGTGTGGGCATGTTCGTGGTCATTTATTTGTCCGTTAGCAAAACATCTCATGAACCATCAGACTGATTTTAATAAAGAGAAAACTCTACAACTGATTGACTTTTGGAGTCAGCTTGATTAATTTGCCTTCACTGCTAATCAACTTTAGCAAACACAAAAAAGAACAACTCATCCATGTTTACAGATACTGGCTAAAGTTTGATTTGGTGGTAGTGAAGTCATCCCCAGTGCAAACTCTGAACGCTAACAGATCGCACAAGATCTTAGTTGTCCCCCATCACGGAGCGAGAAGGGGAATTAGGATTACCGTCCCAAAGGCTCATTTGCCCGTGATGTGAGCTGATAACTCGGAAACTAAGTGAGACACCAACTTCCATTTTGGTGTGTGGCTGCATGTATACATAAGAAAGGTCACTTTTGAAACGTGGGTCGCCATGTCAAAATTCAAGTCAAGTCAAATTTATTTATAAAGCACATTTAAAACAGCAGCTGTTACCAAATTGCTTAACAGTAAGATCAAGGCAGTATAAAATAACAAGTTGTAATTAAAAGCAAAAAAACACAAAAAAAAATAAGAAACAACAAAATACTAAATCAAATCACACTGTGTTAAATGTCAGTGAATACAGGTGTGTTTTTAGGAGAGATTTAAACGCAGGCCTGTCTAATGCTGATGGGCAGATTGTTCCAAACTTTAGGGCCCACGACTGAAAAAGCCTGATCTCCTCTGAGCTTCAACCTGGTTTTTGGTACAACCAAAGGCAGCTGATCAGATGATCTCAGTGCTGGAGAAAGAACATATGGTTGAAGTAGGTCAGAGAGGGATGAGGGTGCAAGACCATTAATGTACTTGTAGGTCACCAGGAGAATTTTGAAATCTATTCTGACATGATGGACACCACTCATCTATGCTTACATAAATATCTATCATTTGAGGAAACAATGCGTTCTAGTTTTTATATTGCTTAAAAATAAAGACTGCGGTGGCCAAAGTTTAACAGTCAAGACCACCACTGGACACCCCCTGGCTCCGCCATTGCACCTGGTGGTGGATAAAATTGTTCTTGCTGCTTTCAAGGGTCCATCACTCTGCTGCCCCGGACAAGCAAAAAGTACAAAAAAAACAGCTACCTCTTATAAACAGTGTAACTTCTACACACTGCAATATCTTGTACCAAAAACATTAAGGTTCACTCTCATTCCCAGTTTAATTCCAGTCCAGAATAACACTCATCTTGAAAACTACAAACATTCGCTATTTATCCGTCAGTGATGGGGGACATCTCACCACTTGTTTAAAACTTTGACATGCAAGTTCTTTGTTGAACCTTGGCCAGCCCGTGTTTGTTTTGGTCACTAAAGATCCTTTTTCTGTTCATATGTTCAGGTGCTGCTGAGTGGTGGAGTAGACTCCACAGTCTGCACAGCCCTCCTCAACAAAGCTCTAAACCAGGACCAAGTGATAGCCGTTCATATTGACAACGGCTTCATGAGGAAGAGGGAGAGTCAGAGTGTGGAGGAAGCCCTAACCAAGCTGGGCATTAAACTCAAAGTTGTAAATGCAGCACACACCTTTTATAACGGGACAACAACCCTTCCCATCTCTGAGGAGGACAGGACGCCACGGAAACGCATCAGCAAGACACTGAATATGACCACCAACCCTGAGGAGAAGAGAAAAATTATTGGAGACACTTTTGTCAAAGTGAGTTTGTTTTTTTACACGTTTTACTAATTTTTACCAAAGACTTTAATAAAATTAAATATTAGCTGCTTTCGTTGACTTAATGATTATAGTTTTCTCTTTAATCATTGTATATGACTATTGTTTCACAGGTGGCAAATGAAGTACTTGGAGAAATGAATCTGAACCCAGAAGAGGTTTTCCTGGCGCAGGGAACCTTGCGGCCCGATCTCATCGAGAGCGCTTCTCATATTGCCAGCGGGAAGGCGGAGGTCATCAAAACACACCACAACGACACTGAGCTCATCCGCAAACTCAGAGACGAGGTAGCGGCTCACACAGACACTCGCGTTATATCTGCCCCCCACACACACACACTGTTTGTGCTCCTGTGAATCTGAATGCATTACACAACAAGTGGTGGAATAGATGGACCGTATTCAACAGATAAAAGATCGTCCCTTTTTGCTTTTAAGTTTATAGATTTTTTTGGTTTCTGTTTACCGTATTTTCCACCGTACACGCCGCTCCGTCCTATAAGTCGCATCAGTCCAAATATGTCTTAAAAAAGTGGAAAAATCCATAAATGTCGCTTCGCTGTATGAGTTGCATCTATTATGCGTCACCGCTGACGCGTCGCGTTTCTTACATGTCATCACTGACAACTCTGAAATGTGGGTCGATGTGCCAAAAATCGACGGGCTGCCAAACGGTGGCCATGGGAGTGTGCACGGGAGGACTTGATAAGAATTTAACAAGATTAGCACTTAAAAACAAGTATTTGTTTGCTCGACATTATACTAAAGGTGTGTCTCAGTCTAACGTTTGCTTAATAAATGCATTTTGAGGGTCAAATCAGCTGCATTTCAAAAGCTGATACGTGAAAGTAAACGCGTACACGCCACATGTCGCCGTACAAATTTAACAAGATAAACCCCTAAAAACAAGTATTTGTTTGCTTGAAATTATACTAAAGGTGTGTCTCAGTCTAACTTTTCCTTAATAAATGCACTTTGACTGTCAATTCAGCTGCATTTTCAAAACCCAATTCACATAAACTTGCACACACAGAGGGACAAGCTGCTGTTCATTTCTTTGAAATTTAACAAGATAAACACCTAAAAACAATTATTTATTTGCTCGACTTTATAGTAAAGATGTGTCTCATTTGCTTAATAAAAGAACTTTAACGGTCAAATCAGCTGCATTTCAAAAGTATTCGGTGCTCCGGGAGCGTGCAGAGGGAGGACAAAAAGGAAGGAGGAACGCTGCTTGTTTCTTCGAAATTTAACCTAAAGTTATTATTTGTTTGCTTGACATCATAGCAACGGTGTGTCTCAGTTTAACTTTTACTTAATAAATGCACTTTAATGGTCAAATTAGCTGCTGAGGCGGTGCAGCCGTTTTAACTTGCTCCAAGCAGCGAGCAGAACGAAGGTGGAAGACTGCGGCAAGCCGATTGTGTCATTAATAGCTGGTGAGGAGTCTCAGGCATCCAGGACTTGGTAAATTCAAAAAAAAGTTCAAGACAAAAACAATAAAGTATAACGAATAATAAATAAAGTCCTGTTGTTTTTGTCTTGAACTTTTTTGAATTTGTCATTATAGCCACTTTTATGTATTACATGACACAACGGCATGCCTTACTGCTACTATTACTCTGCTGCCATCAAGTGGCTGAAAATGGTAGTGTTCAATATTTTCATTCAGAATGAATGAAAACGTTCACATCTCAGCCAAAAATTGGTTTATAGATATGGGAAAACGCCATAAATGTGTAGCTTCGGCCTATAAGTTGCAGGGCATGTAAATTATGAAAAAAAAAATGCGACTTATAGGCTGAAAAATAGTGTTTTATTTATTTTTCTTTGTAAAATTCAATATACAACTATGAAACACATAACGCCCTTAAATCCCCCACTACAATAATTCTGATTGTAACTCCTTGTTGCCCTTCAGGGAAAAGTCATCGAACCCCTGAAAGATTTCCATAAAGATGAGGTGAGAGCGCTGGGGAGAGAGCTGGGCCTACCAGAGGAGATCGTCTCTCGGCATCCGTTCCCTGGCACGTACACACACACACATGCCTTTAGCATGTTTACATATGACAACTTTTACTGTAGTGGTTTAGATCAATTTAATGCTTTATAGATTTTATAAATTTATTTATTTTTGCTTCAGTTTGGTTCATTTTTTGTTTGTTTAATAGTGCAGATGCATTCAGGCTTCAAGCTGATTTTGTTTTGTTTTTTTGCTAAAACCTGATGGATCACTGTCATGTTTTCCTGTAGGTCCTGGTTTGTCCATCAGAGTGATTTGTGCGGAGGAGCCTTACGTTTGTAAGGATTTTGCTGAAACAAACAACATTCTCAAAATTGTCACAGACTTTTCAGCAAGTGTCAAAAAGGTCAGTAAGTTAGAAAATAAAACATGTTTTCTTTTGACTTTTCTGATTAATTGACGTGTTTCAAAGACAATCTGTCAACTGGTTTAAAACGTATGCACTGTAAATTATCTACAGGTTGGCATCTTTTAACCAGATCTGCCCACTGTGTCTTTGTTTTAACTAAACCAAGCAACTTTTCAGTACAAAATTCTATCAGTGATTAACCACCTTTTTCTCTTTCCAGCCTCATGTTTTGCTCCAAAGAGTCAAGTCATGCATATCAGATGAGGAGGAAGAGAAGCTCATGCAGATCACCAGCCTTCATTCACTCAATGCCTTCTTGCTGCCCATCAAAACTGTTGGTGTCCAGGTAAACCTCCTGATGAAGCAACTCTTGAAAATTATCACCAACTTTCTCTTTTTATAGTTTGTTCTCTGCCTAAAAAAACTATTCAAACATTGCAACTTTTCTTAAAATCATCAATATTTTCCACATACGTTGTGAGCTCAAATAGTCTTGAAACAGATGTAAAATCTTAGAAGTTTTAAAATCTAGTTTAGCTATAGTTTGTTGGGATGTGTCGGCTGCTGCTTGTATGTAGAGAAACCCTTTGTTTTCAGAGGCATAGATATCTTGACCACAAGTCTCCTGGTCAATAACTATAATTGAGTTCCCAGTCATAATACACACCCACACAAAGCTTCTCTAAGTCTCACCTCTTTATCTCTCTTCAGCTCAGCAGGGTGTGATCTGTAGAAATGATTTAACAAATTAAAAGTTACCCATAAACAGACTCGCAGTGTTCTCTTGAGAAAAGAACAGCCATAAATTCTTTCCCCACACAAACACTGCAGTCAGCCAGTGACTGTGTGTTTTGTAGGTGTGTCCGTATATATTCTGTCTGACACCAGAAGTTTAAATTTAACCCAAACCTCAAACCGTGGGTAGCACAGAACTCTTTGGACACACAAAAACAGATTTTTTTTAGGCTGTGTCTGACATTGGAGAAAGACTTCATATTGAAAAGTTATGTTCTTCATATTGAAAAGTTATGTTTTAACACAAATGCCTGTTTGTGCTCTCCTTTGTTCCCATTTAATCAGTGTAAGTCTGTGAAGATAAAACAAGATTTCTGTCTACTTTAGGGTGATTGCCGGTCTTACAGTTATGTGTGTGGTGTCACGAGTAAAGAATCTCCACACTGGGAGTCACTCTTGTTCCTGGCCCGGCTCATTCCTCGCATGTGCCATACCATCAACAGGTAATGTGAAAAACTGTTCTGACTGCATCACGCGTCGTTTTCTGTGACACCCAAAAAATGTAAATCCAGTCTTTCAAAAAAACTAAACACTGGATCATGGAATCCCCTGCAGTCAGTGATTCATTCCTGTTTCTCTCTTCTTTTTCCCCAGAGTTGTGTATATATTTGGGTCCCATGTCAAGGAACCACCAACAGACATTACACCAACTTTCCTGACCACAGGAGTTCTGAGCACGCTCAGACAGGCGGACTTTGTAGCTCACTCTATTCTTAGGGAGTCTGGTAAGTGTCTGAGCAGAAGAGGTTCCAGACCCCCCCCCCACACACACACACACACACACACACACACACACACACACACACACAC